TTTCTAATCAGATTCTAACTTAACAACATTTACTTATAAATATGTAGTTTTCCCAGTATTGACTCTGAAGAGGACCACCATAAAGAGGCAAGTGGTTTTCCACCATGGAATGCTGGCTCATCTTGTAGGATAGGCTGGAGGTGGAAAAACTCGGGAGCCTGGGGTCCTGGCCTGAAGTACATCTAGTCTTTGTTCATCTCACCCCCGTTTTATTTTGGCCCTTAGTTAACCCCTCTCTAAAAACAGAAGGGATCGACAGGCAGGCTCTGAGGGTCAGTTCATAAACCCCAGTTTGAAGATTTGTTGACCTGTTTTGCATAGACTGGACTACTTTTACAGTTCCACAAGTTTAATCTTTTCATCATCAAAGATTGTTGTATTTTAAATATCAAGGAATTTGATGAATACTAATGTGATGGCTATGTGCCACGCACAAACCCTCGATTCCTGTGGCCACTGGGTGATTCTTTGAACTTACTGTGAACACTGATTGTTAAAGGCCTGTTTGCTGAGAATGCTATAATATAAATCTCTACTGCTTCTCTGCGGTGGTTTTAATTATCTTAGTCACCCATTATGCCCACCTTCTCCCAACCCCTACAAGCTAGGAGATTGAATTCATTCTTTCTCCATCTCTGTTTATGTTACCAGGTTAGGGTCAAAGCAGATTTTTTTATCTGAAATGTTTAAGTGGTTAGGGTAGGGTTACAATCCAGTTAGTTACTGGGGAAAGGAATTACTTTCTACTTTTCTAAGATGTGTGGTTCCTAATGATTTTCTCCCACTTGAGAGCTGGTGGTGGTTTACTTCTGTCATTTGTCAGTTCACTACATTTTGAAATAATGGCTTTAGGAATCCATTGCCATCAGAATGATTGACTTCTTGACATTATCCAGGTGCTTTTTCACATTTTCCCCTAGTTTCTCCTATTGCCAGTGGTGGAGTTTGCTTGCTGGCAGCAGTCTAGAAGAAAAGCAGCATGTAGTTTGAACTCCACAGCATGGGAGAGCTTTTGAAGATCAAAGACAAAGATGAGTCATGTTGCTGTTCTTCGGTATTTCTGCTTTGGTGTAGTTAATCACAGCTTTCCAAGGGGCAAATGGTAATAAGATCACTATGTCTAGATAGATTTATGATGTCTCTCTCACCATTCAGAGACTGAAAGTAGAATTGATAGTCTTTTTAATGTTACAGACACAAACTTCCCCTTCCTTCTTTCTCTCTAACCTCATTTTCTTTCCTCCCTATCCTTCCTTTCCCCCCTTTCCTTTGTGTTCCATTTTCCATCCCCCTCCTCAAAGTATCTTAGATTTCCAACCTGAAATTGTCAAAATGCTAAGCTTGTAGTAGCTCTCACTTTCCAATATATAGACTGCATCTGCCTTTATGTCTGATTTGGCTGTTGTAGTGGATCCCTGGGACCTTTCTGGCCTTAACAAGAAAAAAGTGATTTGCTAAATGCCGTATTTTCTTGTTTCTGTTCTTCCTTCCAGCAGCATGAAGCTTGGTTCCGTACCAGAGTTGACAGAGCATTAGCTTTTCTCTGAACCAGGCCTGCTTAAGTTTTTGCTTGATGGCTCCAGTTTTTTCTTGGCCTTGGATCCTCCCCAATGAACACTCAGAATGTTCCAGGCGAGATTATATTGTGTAGTACATTTAAAACTCTCTGCCTTCTTTAACTGTCATTTCCCATTGTTTTTGGAAAACAGAAAACATGGACAAGGAAAATGTTGTATTAGTCATTCCTCTTAGTCTGGGTTTCTCCTCCTAAGGAGTTCTAGTTGATGGGCCAGTGTACGTGTGTCCTTGCTGGGTGCTCTAATGATGGATTTGCCTGATGCTGCCCCAAGCACAAGTGGCATGTGGGGTGCTTGGATATTGTTTCAGCTAGTAAAAGAGTAAGTACTTGGATAACACTGACCTGCTTCAGAGTCTGTTGTTTTCTTTGAATGACTCAGCTTTCTGTAATTCACATTTGGATTGGATTTTTTTTTTCCTGGACTCCATGTCATCATCTCTGCTCTCCAACTCTGTCTCCAGGTTGATGGGTAGCAGTACAGGGTTGATTTCTCTGTGTCCTTGTTTTTTCTGTTTCTTTCAGTGATTGCTTTTTACATTGGGATGATTTCTATGGTCAGGCAAAGGTACTTTTCCTTACAGGATTTTTTTAAATTTAGTTTTTAAACAGCCAGGAAGATACAATTTAAAAAAAAATTTTTTTGTTTTATATAACATAACTTGTTCTTTACATTTTAAAAATAGATGTAGAAAGGATGTGTTAAAAAAAATAGCTGCGTAGAAAGCACATATATGGATAAAGCAGTGATTAAAAAAATTTTTTCTTCTAAAGATTTTAAAAAGTCAGATCAAGAAAGTAAATGAATTTGGTTGTTTTATTGCTGAAACAGACATTTTGACGTCATTTGACAGGAAAGCCAATATGGAAACATAGGATATTTTCTGACAAGCTATTATATAAAATGGGCAGACATTTGAATTATTTAACATCGCTTTTACCTTTTAGACATTTTTATTTATGGGGAAATCAATATCATTTTAAGATTTTCTCTTGGTGTGTTCATTTTTTATTTTAATTATTATTTTTATCAGATAATGCATTTACTTGGTTTAAAATTCAAATGCGTATAAAGAGTATACAATTGGAGACCTTTCTTTTGCCCTAGTCCTTCACAGGTTCATTTTATCACCAAAGAAGCAACCAATATTACCATTTCCTTGTGAATCTTTTCAGGGATATTTTAGGCCTACACAGGAAGATATGTTTGTGGGTAGATATTCTCCCGTTTTACACATATGCTAGCATCATGAATACAGTTTAAATTTCATACATATCACCAAAAATATATATTTGCATTTGTGTTTCAATTCTGTGTGCTTGCAGGTGGTAAAGGTTTATCATATTTGATCTGTACAACTTAGAGAGAGCTTGCAATTTTCATGTAAAATTTTAGCCTAGTTTTCTCTATGGCCATAATTTTCCTACTTGAAAATGCGATTGTGAATTCTGCTAATACTGGTGATATTGTCCATTCTATTCTTGTTTATGATACTGTATTTTTTTTTTCTATTTTGTTGTAAGTAACATTTACTGCTCATTTTTTCAATCATAAAAGCAGCACTTGTTTATTCTAAAAATCTTAAAGAGGAAAAGATAAAGGGAAGAAAACCCCTACCACCCAGGGCAGCATCTGTTAATACTTGAGTGTGTATTACTCCAGTCTTTTTTTGTTAAATGCACTTGTATATTTGCATAATTTTCAACTTAGCTATAATTATATGTTACTTACTGTTTTGTAACCTGCACAATATGATGGTTTTTCTTTGTCATTAAATAGTCTTCTACATGAGATATTTTATCATTTAATGTCATTGAATATTTAATCAATATCCTGTCGTTGGCTATTTGTAGTGGTTTAGTGTATGAGCTTTGCAACCAAATAGCCATGAGTTTCAGTCTCTGGGGTAGCATCACCTAACGCAGTCCTGTCATGACCATTAAATGAGGTGATATATGTTAAGCATTTAGTGCAGTGCTTGGCACATTGTAAGAGCACAATCGATAACAGCAAACTACTGAGTCAGGGTTTAGGAAAATTAAGAACAGAGAGCAGTACACAATATGACAAATAAAACAAACTAGTGCTTGGTCCTGATAAGGCTGAGTGAGAGAGAGAAGGGGATGGGCAAAGTGAGCAGTGTGGTGGGGGGAGATACAGAGTTGAGTTCTTACGAGGAAGAAGGCAGCCAGCCTTATTTCCCTTACACCCTCCACCTCCTAGTTGCTTTCAAAACCAGTCCAGCAAGATGATAGTCTATTGCTTGTCCCTCTTTAGAAAGTCTTTTTCACCCCCAGGTGCTTGGTTCCCCTGACTAGGATGTTCTGAGTCTGGAGGAAGTGGAAATGGCCTTGGGAAGGGGGAGTTGGGAGAGAACTCAACATCTCGTTTCCTTCTTTTCTGAGTTTCTTGGCACGTTTTTCATAACCAGGTAGGCTTCCCATGGGAGCTGGCAGGACATCTGAGGAGGATTTAATTTACTTTGACCCAAAAGAAACTAAAGAAAGGGCAAAGTATGCACCCTACCAGCAGCTTTTTAAAAACCCGAGTTTCTCTGAAAGTCTTAAAGCTCAAAATTAAAGATTCTCTATCCCCTGAACTTACCTGTCTAACCTATAAGTTTGTTTGATCATCAGTTAGAAAGAAATGTTGGATGCCTTGCCTCTCTCAACATTTTTGAGTTCTGCAAATGAATGTCCAATTAATCCAGCATTGCAAACTGTTCTTTTTTTTTTTTTTTTTAATTCACTTTGACATATTTGCTTTTAAAAGCCAAGACTTAATTGAGGAGGTATTGGTGAATTCAGATATTGATTAAATTTAGGTAATATTATAAAATGAGTTTATTTCTAATCCCATAGGTAGTATATTTTGTTTAAACTTACCTTGAGAGATTTAAAGTGAAAGAGAGATTTGTTGCGATTTGTGTTACAGAGTGATATATTATATTTACTCATATCATAGTCAATACTTAGGCGATGAAGGATTTACCCTGGTATTAAATATTGAGTATGATCATAACAAAATGAAGCAGAAATGTTGCTTTATTAAAATTTATAGGCAAACTTTTAAAAAAGTAAACAACTACTTTTGCAAATGCAGCGCTATATTTTATTTATTTATTTATTTTGCACTTCATTCCTTTATTATACTGATCTGGCAAAAGGGTTTAGTACAGCTATGCTCTGCCAGGCGACTAGAACATGATTCAGAAATCAGTGAAAGACACACTTGGACAAGACCAAGAGGCATTCACTGCTATGAAACAAGGCGGGGAGGGATTCTAAAGCACACAGCAGGAAGCACTCCTGCCCCTCAGAGGTCATGGAGCTTATCCCATATTGGTATGAGGAATGGCTTAGCTTCTGATGACCACATGTGGGACTATTTCAACTGCCACAAGAAACCCCAGAAAGGTTATTGTTTTGTATTAATTATGTATATACTATACTTTCTTTTTTTATATATAAAAGTAAATGTAACACACAAACTAAATTTAGGATCTGTCCCAACCTTCTAGAGCCAGTTCCTCTGGGGCCAGGGAGGAAACAGTTGTCACATCACCATGCAGGTTACATTCGTCTTCCACTGGAATGACTATAGCCCCCGGGCAATGGCCTGACTGCAGAAGAACACAGGACTGGTTCCTGGGGGCAGACAGCCTCTCTTGCTTCTCTTCATTGGTCATGGCTTAGCATGATTCTTCCCCACAAGTCCTTAGTAAACAAAGCACTCAAAAAAACCCAACTCACTACCTTTAAACACTTTTGGATAAGGGGAACTTTTCCACAGCTTGGACTGAGAACCTGTGCCCTAGAAGTGCTACTCTGACTAGAATGTATGAAGGGAATGGGTGCAGGAGACAAAATGGCTAAAATGAAAATGGGAACTACTGGTCCCCATCTGCAGCTACAGCTCAAGATGCCTACAGATGTGGACAGTGTGACATGTGCAGGAGGGAGGGGCAAAGGGGCGAGACAGGCAGGGAACATGCTCCTGGGGACAATAGCTTGCCCTCTGGCTTTCACTTCTTGGCCTTGACCTGGGTAGCCACACCTTCCATGGCTTTACGCACGGTCTCTTTATCTCCCAGGAACTGCATGGGATTGATGGGCTTCAAGTTCTTGTCCAATTCATAGACAATGGGAGTACCAGTCGGCAGGTTCAGCTCCATGATAGCCTCTTCAGAGAGACCCTCCAGATGCTTGACAATGCCCCGAAGGCTGTTGCCATGGGCAGCAATCAGTACCCATTTCCCCTCCTTGATCTGGAGAACTATTTCTTCATTCCAGAAGGGCAGAGCTCTGGCAATAGTGTTCTTCAGACCCTCAAAGGAGGGTGTCTGATCTTCTTTGAGGTCTGGATACCTGCGATCCTTACTGATGTTGCTGTAGAAAGGATGGTCAGGCTCCATTGGAGGTGGTGTGACATCATAGGAGCACCTCCAGATCTTTACCTGGGTCTCACCATGCTTTGCAGCAGTTTCTGCTTTACTGAGACCGGTGAGATCCCACTGAGGCGCTAAGTCCTCACTACTGGCAGCCACATCTGATCAATGGCACTTAGCACTGTACAGAGAGGCTCCGGGTCGCTGTCTTCTGCATTGATATGAAACACATGTGAAACCCATAGCCAGCATCTTGCAGTGCCTGCCCACCACACTTGGCCTCCTTGTGGCCTGCAGAGCTCAGGTCTACACTGCACCAGCCGCTGAAGCGGTTCTCCAGTTTCCACACGCTCTTGCCATGCCAGATCAGCACCAGTTTGTAGGCGGCCATGGGTGGCAGGCTGGGGATGCGGCACCGACTGGGGTTCGCAGATTCCTGAGTGGAAGTCCGCCCCCTCCACTGCTCTGCGTGCTCACGCTGCATGGCCCCGTGCTATATTTTTATACTATATTTTTCCTATGGTGGTATCGTTAAGTTTCCACCAATTTTAAATAATATTAAAACTAAGTGCGTATTAACCGAAATAGGTAATTGAAAAAAAATCTGATTTTATATACATCCTCAGCAATAGTGTTGTCATCTCAGAAAAATTATCTACAAGTTTTTAAAACTTCTTCATGGAAAAGCAGTCAGTGCTTTATTCTTAGGAAAGTATTAAAGTTTTATTTTGTTTTTATAAGTCAGACTCCTTGATGCAGATGAAATCTGTTTTCCCCCCTTGTTCATTGAAGTCATAACAAGTGTTCAAGGCCACCTCTGTGATTTTCATTTTTGCTACCTGATTCTTGATAAGCTGTTTATTCTAAGGACCAAACCAATTTAGCTTAGGATCCATTTCAGCCCTGTATATCCTAGAATGAAAATTCTGATCTTTACCCATTTTCATTGTCTCAGTCACTTTATCTTTTCTTCTCTTCCATCACTTTAGCAAGAGTAGCATTCCCAGTGTTAAAAAAAAAAAGATGGAATATTCCTTTGCTGTTTGCACATATGCAAGACTCCTCATGCATTCTTTTGTTTGTTTGTTTAAGCTTGCTTTAAAAATACTTGATGAGCAGTGGAATGTCATTTTTAGTAGTTATAACCATTTGCTGTTGTTTACCATCTCGTTTTCTTAGTTCCCGACCTTGGACAGCTTTACAAACCTCTAATCTTCATCTTCTTTGTGACTAATCCTATTGTCTTCCACCTCAGGTGGTGTAGTTGCCAAATTTTTGGTCTGTTTCTTGTAATGTATGTACAACTATACTAGTTTTGTTACTTGAAAGGAAGTAGGAATATGTGGGCACTGAATGAAAATTAGTGGGTTGATTAGAAGCCTGTTGGAGAATTATATATAGGGAATCTAATCTCCCTTATTCATACTAACATGTGTCACTGCTTTTTAGGAATGATGTTAACTAATGTTACCTTAGAAATCTTAGAACCTACCTTTTTTTTTTTTTGAGACTGAGTTTCACTCTTGCTACCTAGGCTGGCATGTAGTGACATGATCTCGGCTCACTACAACCTCCGCCTCCCGAGTTCAAGCAATTCTCATGCCTCAACCTCCCGAGTAGCTGGGATTACAGATATGTGCCACCATGCCCAGCTAATTTTTTATATTTTTAGTAGAGGCGAGATTTCACCGGCCAATACGGTGAAATCTCATCCCTACTAAAAATACAAAAATACAGGCTGGTCTCAAACTCCTGACCTCAGGTAATCCGCCCACCCCAGACCCTCAAAGTGCTGGGATTACAGGTGTGAGCCATTGCGCCTGGCCAGAACATACCTGAACCATGAATATCTTCGTGTTTCTTCTATAGTCATTTTTTTCTGATTATAAAAGCAATATATGTTTATTATAATAAGTTTGGCAAGTATAAAGGAAAAATAAAAGTAATTCAAATAGCAGTTTAGGGTATTTTCTTTCACTTATACATTTATATTCTAATCTGTGTCTGTGTGTCGTTTTTTAAAATTGACAATGGAGACCAGGCGTGGTGGCTCACCCCTGTAATCCCAGGAGTTTGATACAAGCCTGACCAACATGGCGAAACCCCATCTCTATGAAAAATACAAAAATTAGCTGGGTGTGGTGGCAGGTACCTGTAATCCCAGCTACTCGGAGGCTGAGGCAAGAAAATTGCTTGAACCAGGAGGCAGAGGTTGCAGTAAGCCAAGATCACACCACTGCATTCCAGCCTGGACAACAAGAGCAAAAATCAGTCTCAAAAATAAAATAAAATTGACAGTGGAGCCTGAACATCTCCCTACATCCTTAAATAAACTTTTATGTGTTGATTTTAATGGCTTTATGTTATTTTATCCCATGAGTGTATAATTTATTTAACTGGTGTATTTTCATATTAATTTTTTTTGAACTATGGTAATGTGATTTTATTTTATGTTTTAATAAGCCATACTGTGTATTAGTATCAGCTAGATCTAAGTATCACTAAGCCCTGCAAAATCAGTCATCTACATTTTGGAGAATGTAAAATTTAGAAGAGTTAAAGATAAAAATATTCTATGTCTACTTACTGACAGTGTTGAGCACTTTCTTAGACAAGATTTGGTCACTTAAGAAGCCTAATAGCTTTTTCCCATCCTTTTAAGTCCTTGTATTTTATCTCATTTAAAAAGTCAACCTTTTTTGGTTCCTGGGATTTTAATTCTCTCATTTTAACTTTAATTTCATTCCATTTTTTAATCTTAAATACCATTTAGCCTAGGTAAATGGTATTTTTAATCTTAAATACCATTTAGCCTTAATGATTAATTTCTTAATCCCTTATTTAAAAACAACATAGCAACAAATACTCCGTTTTTTAAGTATTTAAAATTTTTGATGTGCTTTTATAGAGATCAGCAAGAGCTATAGCTATAGGGTAGGTGGTTTTTGAGGGAGCCAGAGTCATTAACAGATATATCAGCCTTCTTGCCAACTATACTCTTAGCTATCTCCCTGTGTCATTCATTTCTTTGAAAGGGTAGCTTCTAAAAGAATTCCAACTTGGAAGGCCCTTGGGCTGGCCCTTCCAGGCTGAAGTTCAATCCAAGCATAAAATAGACTTTCTTTATTGAAATGATATTGATACTGTACCTTTTACTGTGGTTTCCTGTCCTCATACTTTAGATATTATTCTGATTTTTAGAATCTTAGTTAAAATTCTTTTATTAACTAGATGTTTATACTTGGGGAGGTCATGTAACTTCTGAATCCGTTTTATATCATAGTGCATGCTTGCTCTAGGTGATAACTGTGGCGATTTTCATTCTGATTTAAAATAAAACTTTTAATTTATCCCTTAAAAGCTCCAATTAACAGTTGGAATTTAAATTGAAATCTTCTAATAATTAAATTATTAAAAATTTAAATATTAATTATTTTTAAAAATTAATTTTTCCCATACAGATACATTTTGTTTTTACCCTTTTATAATCTAGCCTAATTGCAAAATATATGACTTGGCAATTTATCTTTTATGTCTCTTCAAACGAACCCTTTTCATAATTTGGGGGCAAATTGTTTAACTTCTGTGAATCATTAATAACCCTTGTATTGTCATTGTAGATGTTATTGGTGTATCTTTCCATGGCTCCCCAGCCCTATTAACTATAGGATGTTCTTCTAGACTTTTTAACCCCAGACTTATCACTGAATATTACTCAATTTATTCTATTCTTATGTTTATCATGATGCATATTCACAGGAATTATAGCAGATGTCACTAATCAAAGATTCATTTTATTAGATCTGAGATGACATTTCATTTTATAACCTTCTGTCAGTTTGAACCATTTATTATGCAGGTTTTATGAATGAGTGTATCCTTTTGTTCTCAACATGCTTATGCACCTTGGTTTGTCTTTTAGAGAGAAAAATAAAGGAATAGTATATTATGCACCTATTTTTAATATTTCAGATATAATAGATATAACTAATTAACCTGAAATGTAGTTGTTCCTTAATACATTTATTTGCATTACTATTCTGTTTGGTGTCTTTAATAACTTATACAGTTAGCATTTTTCTTACTATTTTTCTAATGTAGCAAGTGTTTTTTTTTGTTTGTTTTTTGTTTTTTGTTTTTTTGTTTGTTTGTTTGTTTGTTTTTTAAAAGATGGAGTTTCACTCTTGTGGCCCAGGCTGGAGTGCAGTGTTGGGCTCTCTGCTCACTGCATCCTTCATCTCCTGGGTTCAAGTGATTCTCCTGCCTCAGCCTCCCAAGTAGCTGGGATTACAGGCACACACCACTATGCCCGGCTAATTTTGGTATTTTTAGTAGAGATGGGGTTTCACCTTGTTGGTCAGGCTGGTCTCAAACTCCTGACCTCAGCTGATCTGCCCGCTTTGGCCTCCTACAGTGCTGGGATTACAAGTGTGAGCCACTGCACCTGGCCGCAAATTTATTTCTATTTTCTATACCTTCTGCTTGTTCTGATATATATACTCTATATGTAGTGGGCCTTTGGATCATTCTTTTACTTTTTGTTTTGAGATTGTTTGACCACCCTCATTTAGAGTGATTTGTGTGAAGATCTTGGACAGCAATTACAGTAAAGTCTTGTCTGTAGTTGGACACCTCATTTGAGTATTTGCTAGTGTTTGAAGGTTGTTCCTTTTGTATAATCTTGGTTATTGTATTGGGATGCTTCTCTTACTGCCTGGGCGTTTTCTCCAGAACTGCTAGAAATTTTGGCTTTGTTCTTCATCTCTGTAGAGTTGTCTAAAATTTTCTGGAAATTCTATAGTGTCAGAAAAAATATCATCACTGTCTTCTTGGGCTGGTCTTTTGACGACCAAGAAAGTTAATTTATAGCTCGAAATGTTATCTCAAGAGCAAAGCAAAATCTCCTATTCTTGAGGTATTGACTTACCTCCTGGGCTAAATGACCCAAAGACTTTTCTTTAATGGCACAAAAATAAAAAAAATTTCCATATTAAATCATGGAGCAGAGCTCCCTGTGTCATTTTTTGTTTATTGCTTCACTACTGTCTTGTAGAAGAATGTATCATTAGTTTTCCATCTGACCTCTTAGACAAGAGAAGTCAGGTTAGCTGATCTGAAGAGCATCACACAGGAAGTACTACAGGTGATGCATCAGGGAGAGATTTGTTGCTGTGTATACTAGCAATACATTCAAACAGGCTATGTATTATTAAGAGGAGAGTCCTTAAAACTCAAATTACAGTCTGATTCCTTTGAATGAGTATGTGCCAGGAATCTTGGAAGCAAATGCAGCAGGTGAGGGAAAAGCCTCTAGGGATCCCCCAACCCCTCCCCTGCATAGTTTATAACTGTGTCTTGTTTGCATCCTGAACAGTGGCTATACTCTTCATCTAGAGCAAAGGACCTGCTGCTAGGCAGTTTCGTTTCCCCTGAGGTGATTGGTGGGTTGTTTTATTGTTTGGACCATCCCTTGAGACACTGAAAGATTTCTTCCTCATTATGAGAGAGAGACTTTTAATTTAAAAAAAATAGATTTGGTTTAGGTTCTCTGAAGTGGACAGATTATGAGATTATAACACTCCTTTTATGTGATTTGACTGTGATGGCTTAGTTTGTGTTTGTCAATGAAAGCTCTTCTCCGTAGGCCACTGATTGCTCTCAACTGATTCTCAACACACTTTCTCTTATTATTAAAAATAATATTATTACAAGATATTTTTATTAAAGTGGTTCTCAGCATACTTTCTCTTATAGCTACAGTCTCAAAAGTACACCTTAGTGAATA